TAGCTGTTCACCTTCTAGTGCAATTAATTATGCTCTTCCTGAACACCATTACGACTTTGGGATCTTTCCAAATTTTCATGCTGTGATTTTGCATTTTTGCGAATTACAGACTAGGTAGGCTAGAAGGAAACGTCAATTTAGAAAGAGTTAAAAAATAGCAGGGCAGAATTGCTTCTACTTACTTTCTTCTATTTAGGAACTGGGAGTGACATGCACTCCGAATAATCCATCAACATGTAGTGGACGGAATCCATTTTGCGCCACAACATCAGGAAACACATTTAAATGCTGTAGTGATCGAATACAGGTGAAGTAGCACGATCGCCTTAGCACGGAGTGCACCTTAAGCACGAGGACTCATTTGGTGCTCATGACATGCCCTTACCGGTTGTAGCATTCAATCCATCAGTCACAGACTCAGCTCACACCTGCTTCGCCATCTTTTGCTATATAGGGATTTCTATCTCAAGGTGGATGCACGAATCCTTTCCACCTTTGCCTGTAGGTCCCAAAGCTCTCGCACTGAGCACAGCTCAGCAGGTTCAGACGGTATAGTGAGCGTCGTTCAACCGAATCACGACTGCGTGGGTGCCTCTAAGAGGGCGAAAATAGCTATTGGCGTGATATTGTGAATCTCGTCTTTATGGTCCTTGTCATTTTTTGAGTAAGAGGATGCTTGGAATTAGGAGAAGCCAAAGCGCCGGTATTAAGGTGTAAAAAACTCGAGCTGTTAGCTGCCACTACAAATTTGCCCATTACTGAGAATCAGTATCAAGCATGGCGCAAAAAAATTTTAAAGGAGCAGGGGTACAGCGCACTTCAGGATATCCGCGGCGCAACACTGGGCAAACTGATATTTCTTTGCTAGTTGACTTGATACGCCGTAGCTGTTACTCTGAGTCAAGTGCTTCGTGACACCACCAGCCAGGGGTATATCCCCTCCTTCCAGCGGCCGAATAGAGTTCTAGAAGTACGCCCCACCCTGATATTAGAAGTTCGGAAAAGACAGGAGCTCCTCAGTGGACGAAAGAAGGCTCAGGCGAGAACTCTTACTCTTCGACTCACAACGACTTTTTTGCATCTCCCTGCACTGAGCTTTGTCCAAAATTGGAAAAATCTAAAAAATAGAGCGGGAACGAATCTCGAAGGAACACTCTGCGATTACTGCAATACTATGGACTATTCTAAACTTCATCGGATAGCAGTTCTCCTCATACCACAGTAGCGCTGACTGCAATAATGGCCATGAACAATTGAGAGTTTTCCTTGTGTAAGTAACCATTTTTCACCTAGGATTCTGCGGAAATTGACAAACTTGATCCAGAACACGTAAAGCCAGGTGTGTTTCATGTCTCTTTTCTTTATTCTACGTATATTTTCGCTATACTGCATTTTCAAGTATGCCCTGGTGGTGCTATTCCCTACGGGATCCCACAAGTGATGCTATGTGATCCAGTTATTGTCAACATTTGCCCTAACAGTTACACGGTAAGTAGTCGAAAAGACATTTCACGTTGATTGTGTGGGGCAGAATCAGGTTCAAAAGTGGCTTCCTCATTGATGACCCAGTTCTCTTCGCCATCTTGGAAGAGGACTGCGAGAGCGGACCATTGAGGAAGGAGGAGTGTGCCCTGTCTCCGCCCATACAGTCAACGTGGATATTATTTTTAATTGAACTGTACATAAACCTTGTTTCCAACCACAACAGTTACCGGTGGATTGCAGTGCGTCGAAGCGGCTAATGGGCACTTGCTTCCCAGAGATGCCCGATCCCTCTGCTGTAAAACTTCAACACTGTACTCATTTGCGTCGGTATTTGGGGAAGTGCAGTTGTCTCCACGAATCGTTCCAAATCCACCGCTCTCAGCCATAGAATACGTAGGTATTTTTCAAGAGCACTTTTTATATGCGTTTTGACAGTATTCTCCCGACATAGGGAAAAGGGAGCTGAGGAAGTGGGAGCGTCACACTGGCGACTGTTCTGTGCGCAGTTACATACACTGCCTACCACAGACGGAGTAGGCGTGGCATTCCAACAGTGCATAGAGTGGGCTGCTCGTGGGACATCCCAGTATGGGACAACTGTCATCCTGTCTAGTGTTAGAAAGATACATGACCACAGTTGTGTCAAATTGAAGCTAACTCACCACAAGCAGCCATCCTCAGTTTTAGTTGAAGTACGCAACCACGCCCACCCCATCTCAGTGATGACGAGTGTACATGCACCACGCAGTAATCTGGACGCGGACGTTTAGCACAGGACCCATCCCGAGCCTGTGAGGGCCCTATTCAGCGTCCTAGTCGCTTAGGTTCCGTACTAAGATACACCTCAGAGAACCAGGCGTAGAAAGCCCCTCAACGCCGTAGGGATCGGACACCATCCTCCACAACTAGGTTTCCGCTTTCTCCTTGATGCCTTTCTTGTACCCTTTGTCCAGGAATGAAGCACGATTATAAGGCTCTGAAGATCGTTTGCAAATAGTTGTAGGGCCTTAAAAAGCCTTCAAACATCTCTGCGTCTGAGTGCAAGCTAGCTAGGGGTATACTTCACAAGGGCTATTTCATATTTTGCCCACATTTTACATCCTTATTGACGCGCATTCATTGGCCGCCTTTTGAGTGTATATGATCTACTGTACCCTCATTATAGGTAAGACTCAATGTCCACACATCGGCAACAATGCACGCTCCAGAGAGAGATACGTACTGGTGATCATTTTGTATTGGCACCTTTCAAGCTTCTTGAACCAGCATATCTGAAAGGAGTGAAATTGTTCACAGAACAGACCGTGGAAGTTACATACATGTTCTACTTTTCGGTAAGTGCATGAATTACTTCTACCATTTTCGAGCGCGACCACCAGCGTTCCGAGCGTCCGGCAGCGCCAGCGTCTAGGAAAATAATGGTATCGATCTAGCGCTGTCAGCCGGCCTACTAGCGGTCTCCAGACCTTCAGGACCGCCGACCGAGTAGAGTATGGAGGAAGTAGGAGAGTAGGCAAACAGTTGAGCTAGGCGTCGTGAAATTGCGTCTTCTGCAACCGTACCGTATACCCACACTACACCGTACATTAAATTGCATAATGCTATGCTTCAGCAGTGTGCGGTGTGGTTGCATACGCCGCAATTTCACAACGACTAA